TTATGTGGTGCTGAGGAATCGAACCCAGGGCCTCAGGCATGCAAGGCAAGTGCTCTACCACTGAGCCACCTTCCCAGCCCCCGCTATCAGCTCTTCTTTGCAGATGCCCAGAGATGACATACAGGTGATTCTGACATGAGCTTCGGGCCGGTGGCTCACATCTGCAATCTTAGCTATTCAGGAGGTTGAGATCTTAAGATCGTGGTTCCAAGCCAGGTTGGGCAGAAAGTCCATGAGATGCTTATCTCCAATTAACCAGCACAATGCTAGAAGTGGAGGTGTGGTTCAAATGGTAGAGTACCATCTTTGAGCAAAAGAGCTCATCAGGAGCGAGAGCTTGAGTACAAGCCCCAGTGCTGGCATAGGCACACACAAAAATCCCATGACATCACCAGGCCTTGGGAGCACTGGGAAGAGACACAATGTGGATGCAGTCAGAGGGATGATGAGCAGATGGGTCACCTGGAAGAGACGGGCTTTGCAGAATGCATAGAAGTTCACTCTTGGAGTTGAACAAAGTCTTAAAGAACTGAAATGGGAAACAAGAGTTTGGCTGCCACATCCTCAGTCCTGGGTCACCTGCTCCTCACCTGTGTGGCTGGTGTTACCATTCTGTCACCTGACACCGGTGCATGCCTGACAGGGGTTTGAGGAGATGGAGCTGTGCTAATAAGCTCTTTTCTGTGCAAGGCCTCTCTCTGTTCTACAAACTAGTGTGTAAATGTGAGCGGAGGGAGTCACCTGGGGGTGTGATTGTCGAGCCTTTTGAGACAAGTGAGGCAGTTAGGTAGCCTGTGACCAGGATCTCCCTGAAGGAAGGTCCTTGTCTTCCTTAACATGTAGCAACCCTTCCTTCCTCCGTGTCCCTGCAGGTCCCCTCTTGGCTGCAGGGAACTGACTGCCAGGTCTAGTTCCCTGGGGTTCCCCCACTGGGCCTTCGGGTGTCAGCCCCAGCTGTGGGCGTGGCTGGGTTTTGCCTGTTTCACTCAGTGAGCATCTCTTTGGGTTCCAGAGGCTGCGGTCTCCGTTTCCAGCAGTGGGAGGGAGGTACCGGTGAGAAGTGGCGTGGTAGTTGTTCATATTGTCCGATGGCTGGGAGAACTTGAGATGACAGGGTTGGGTCTCAGAACTTTTGCCGACTTAGTCTGTGATGGTAGGAAGTTGGAAGTGGGGAAAGTTGCACTCACCCATCCTCTGCTTCGCCAGCTCTCTCTTCTAAGTTGTGACTCTGAGAGCTAAGCAAACTACCCCGGACCATGGCCAGAGAGCGGATTATGTTGGAGTCTTGCCCTTCCTCTCTTTCTCCTCTCCCCTCTCCTTCTCTCCTTCTCTCCTTTCCCTACCTTTGAGGCTGGGGCTGTTTTTCTTTGGTGATTACAAGTCATCTACTTATTAGACAAAGTTGGAGTTCAGTCCCTCTGTCCTCCCCTTTCTCCCTTTTTCCGTCCCTTTCTCTCTCTTCCCTCCCTGAGGTTCAGACTGCTTTCCTCTTCTGATGGTGAGTTGCCCCTTACTTGGTGTGTATTTATTAGCTGTCGGAGCTGTCCTTTCGTTTCTCCACTTGGAAAGCAGCACAGTCAGGCGCTTGAGGATGCCGACACCACGCCAGATATGGCAAGTCTTTTATTTGCCTTTTCTTTTCCATTTCCTTTAATCTCTCAAATGCTCTTAGTTTCCATAATGTAGAGTGAATTCCTCTCCTTCAGACAAAGGGATTTCTGCTACTTCCAGGTTGGTGACTTTTGGACTGGACACCCTCGGGGGGGGGGGGACTGCTTCCAGGGGTGACTGGAGACCCCAAATGTTAGAGTTGTATCTGTTGTCATCGTCTTGTGCCCAATCAGAGGGCCTGATGTCTTTCATCTACTCTACCTAAGCCTCCTTTTGTCTCTGAGGCCTCATGCTGGGAAAAGAGACTTTTTTTTGTCGGTCATGGGGCTTGAACTCTGGGCCTGGGTGCTGTCCCTCAGCTCTTCAGCTCAAGGCTAGCGGTCTACCACTTGAGCCACAGCGCCACTTCTGGCTTTTTCTGCTAACATGGTGCTGAGGAATCGAACCCAGGGCTTCATGCATGCAAGGCAAGTCCTCTACCACTGAGCCACCTTCCCAGCCCCCAAAGAGAGACGTTTTCCCTGAATGCTTGACCCTCAGGAATGGCAGTGGAGTAGATCCAGTAGACCAGGCCTGCTTTGTAACAAGGCCCACGGGCTTCTCAGAAGACTGAGGTCCCCTTCCCAAGATGGGACCTTCCATACAGAAGGCTGTGTGGAAATCTACCCCCGAAGGTCTTGGTAAGCCTGGGCAGTGTCTGTAAGCGCCTGTGTGCACAGTCTGACTTGGGGAGCTGGGAAGTCTACAGTACTACCCGGTTCCTATGGAGTGCTGGGTACTGAGTAGTTCTTTAGACAGTTCACATGTGCTTGTGGAAAGCATGTATGAACTCTGCTTTCAAGGCATTGGCCATCTTTTTTTTTTTTTTTTAAATTTTAGCCAAACAATTCCCCAGAGAGCCTAACACTAAAGAAAGGTTTCCCCAGCAAGAAAGCCACACATAGAAAATGCTCTGTGCAAGAGCTGTGTTTAGGTGTGATGATACCCAGAGTCCCAGGTCAACATGCTCTGCGTGGTGCCACTTTGCAGGTGAGAGCAAGCGAGGTGCAGCATCTCCTCTGCGCCTCAGGTGTGGGGCTGTGCGGGCAGCAGTCACATGCAGGAGACCATGCAATTACTCTCCCTCAGGTGGCAGAACGTTAATGGATCCAACTCCGACAAAATAAACGCTGCTTCAGACTTGCCTTGGGCCTCAGTAAATATTTAACAGTGTGTTTCCCCCATTCTCTTCTGTGCTATTAACTGAGCCACACCATAAATCCATAAATCACAGCTCTGCTTCCTGCTGTAAGCTGCTCCTCCTGGCTGACCAGGTGCCAGTCCTGATGTGAGTGATGCTGCCTCTCTCTCTCTCTCTCTCTCTCGCTGCTGCCCTGTGCCAGGCACAGCTCCTTTAGGAGGTGAGAGTGAAGAGGAGCTCGCAGGAGCAGTGCAGGGTGGCTTCTCCTATTTGAAGAGATGGGGACAGTTCTTAAGGTGTGCCCACTACCTGCCACTTGATGGATGTTGATTATTTCATGTCAACTTTTCCACGTGGGTGGCTATCATGCACTCTTTGGTAGCGTTAAACAAGAGACATATTTCTCACGGTTCTGGAGGCTGGAAGTCGAAGACAAGAGACCACACAGATTTGCCCATCTCTGGTTCATAGGTGATGTCTTCCTGCTGTGTCCTCAAGCGGTGGCAGAGACAAAGAAGGTCCTTTGGATCCCTTTTAGAAGGACAGGAAGCTTGTTTGAGGGCTCGACTTTCATGGCCTAATTACACCTCAGACGCCCCTCCTCCTGATGCCCAATACCATGGGGGCTCGAATTTCAACACAAGCATGTTAAGGGCATGCAAATATTGAGAACATAGCACAACCTGGCAGTGGAACTATGAAATGGTAGATGCTGTTTATGTTCATGTCACAGATGAGGATACTGAGGGTTAAAAACAGATTGCCAAGACCACTGTAGTTGTCTATGCTTGTAGTAGTCCTACCACCCAGGAGGCTGAGGCCTGAGGGTGGAAGTTAGAGGCCATGTTGCTATCCACAGCAAGACCTATCTCAAGAAACAAACAACCCCACCCCCAAATCCACCCAATCTAAAACAACCAACAATCCCCCCAAACAAAATAAAAAAACCCACACAGTAGAGTGTACACAATAGTAATACTAGTAATTAGGTAGGCTAATTTGGAATCTTGTTTTAACTACCAGATGCACTTCTTCTTTTGTAGGATGGAGAGGCCAGTGACAGATACTGCCTTGAAGGGTGGTTAGTGCTTTCATTGGGTGGCTTGGGAAAGCTGGGCCTTAAGCCCTAGAGACTGTGGAGCGGTGTGTGTGTGTGTGTGTGTGTGTGTGTGTGTGTGTGTGTGTGTGTGTGTGTGTGTCCATCTTAGTATTGGATGGGCCTCACTTTCTCACTTGGCTTTTTCACTCAAGGCTGGTGCTCTACCACTTGAGTTATACCACCACTTCTAGCTTTCTGTTGGTTAATTGGAGCTAAGTCTCGGATTTTTCTGGCTGGGCCAGATTCGAACTGTAGTGCTTAGATATCAACCTCTTGATTATGTAGGTCACAGGGGCCATGAGTCAAGGATGCCCAGCTGAGATCTATTCTTCGCTTACCTCTGGGACTGGGTTGGGGACATAAAGACATCACCTGTAGCTGGAAGAGTACTTGGTACCTTGTAGTGGCCAGCTGGGAACTGCTGAATGAGTGTGAATGAGCGAATGGGAAAGAGGCCCCCGGCTTCCCTCCCAGTGCAGGGCTGGGCCTGGAGCCAAGCCAGGGTTTTGTGGTTCTCTTTATAAAAGAAACAAAACAAAGAATGACTTCCGACCAGCTGACTTTAAACTCCTGTAGGGCCCCTCTCAGCACAGCGGGGGAGCTGGGCCGATGCCAAGGCGGACTTCCAGGCCAGCCACCTAACTCTCTGGCTCTGTACCCCTTCTCCTCTCGCCGCCTTGTTGCCTTGCCTCCCTGGCGGCTCTGAGGCGCCCTGGTGGAAGATCTGTCGGGGAGGTGCTCTGCTCCGGGAGCAGCTCACTGGGCTCCCTTGCACCTGCCCTGGGTGCCAGCATCCCGGGAGTTACAGGCTTCTTTCCTGAACATTACTGTCTGGAGGGAAGGATGACTCACTGCTGCTTGGGATGTGTGAGTGTGACCTGACCGTTGTTCCTTCTTTCCTGTCCAGGCCTAATCTTTGACCAGAGCAAGAGAAAAAGATAAAAGATAATCTGGAATTTTCTCAGCCCATGGATTTATAGTGAGAACTAATGCTGGAAGATGGCTGCCCTGGAGTCACAACCCCCGCCACCGTGGGATTCTGGGTACTATGGCTGGTGTTAAGCACCTGACCCCATGCTGTGTCGATTGTTCCAGGCGGATGAGAACCACGGCTGCTGTGAGGACTGGATCTCTGTACCTGATGGGGACAGGAGTGTTGGGTCCGCTCTCTGACGGCTCCCTTTGAAATGTAAGTCCTGTCTTTCTCCTTTAAAGCATCTCTTGGGTGTTCTGCCCAGAGTACGGTGGGATTCATGCCAGGGCAGCCTGGCTGTGGGTTGAAGGTTTGTGGTATTGGGTCTGGCATAAGATGGGGAGCAGAGGAAGACAGGTGGAAATTCAACTGTTCTCTTGCTGTCATGAGCTGAGGTGGAATGTAGGCGTAGGCCCAGGGGAGCCTGTCACGCCTAAGACATCACAGGTGCCTGTCACAGGCTTTCAGGGTGTAGAGAGGGCGAATGAAGGCATTGTGGAGGATGAATTCAGACCCTGGTAGCTCTGTAGGAAAGGTAGTCACAGAGGTGTAAATCTTCAGCTCTGTGCTTAGAACCACGTGATCAGTACTGTGACAGGTGTGTGTCAGCAGATGGCTGTCCTGGGTCTGAATTTCTCTAGGAAGCAAAGGCCAGGTTGCTTTCATGCCTCTCCTCAGCGGGGGTGAGCTCAGCACCCTGCCACCTTCCAGGGGCGGTGGTGCTGAGGGTCACAGAGTAGACAAGGTGTGTGTGTGTGTGAGGGGCGGGCTTTCGGCACTTGGTCAGGAGAGTGCTGGCTGAAGGCAGGTCTGTGGAAGGGACAGCACATTCATTGCCTGGCCCTGGATAGCTTTTCTCGGTAGAATCAGGTAGGCAGTGTGAGACTTTGCACTGGATGCTGCTGGTCAGCGTAGGCAGCGGGTGAAAGGTCACTGTCCTTGGCATCCTAGAGAAAAGCAGAGTGGGAGGTTGGCAGTAGGCAGGGGCAAAACAGAGCCCTGTGTAGCTGACCAGCAAGAGAGGCTCCGAGCTGGCCTCTGGGCTGGACTTGATCAGAGGGACTGGACCTCTGTGACATGTTTGTCTTAGGGCCTGGCTTCAAGCAGGAGAGTGCTAACAATCAGAGGCACTGTCAGGTCACACCATGATTGATCTGGGATGGGGCCTTGGTCTGACGATGGTTGAGTTCCTATTTCTACCATGTTGTTGGCCCTTCTCAGACAAGCCTTCCTGACCTCCCTGTGCAGAGTTCTCTGGGCGTAGTGCTGCTGTTCCACAGCTTCCCGATGTGTTACACCTTCCTATTCACTTGTGAGGAAGTGGAGTGGAGTTCATTGGGTCTCCCACGGCTGGCACGTCATCTGAGGCCATGCTGTGTGCCCACAGGCCGGGCACCTAGCAGACACTTTGTTAGGCGTATTTGAGTTGGCCCGATGAAATGCTGGCTCTTTGTCATTTTCTTTCCATTTTCCTGAAAAGGTCTAAGAGCTGGGCAGTGGTGGTGCATACTGCCCCTAACCCCAGCTACTCGGGAGGCAGAGGCAGGAAAACCATGAGTCCAAGGCTAGCTTGGGCAGCATTAGCGAGAGCTTATCTCAGAAGCCAAATCCCAACAAAAGGGCTGAGTGTGGCTTACGTGATAGAGTGCTTGACTGGCAGTTGATGCAGCCCTGGGTTCAGTCTCCGGAACAGCAAAAGGTCAGAGAGAACCAAGCACTCTCTTTTTTGAGCATCTTCTAGTTTAGTTCAGCAGCCCTTTCTGTGGAGTGGTGGTATGCCCACGTTATTGCTAAGAACATTGAGGTTCTGGAGAAAGCAGAGCAGGAAGCAAATTCTGCCTCATGTTTTTGTCCTGAGCAACTGAGGGTGGAGATTTTTCTTTCCAAGTCTTCAGAACAATATGCACATTGAGAACTTCTCTGTGGCTGCTCACTGTTTTAGAAGTGACAGCGTTTAGAGGTCCCCCTCCTAGAGTCCAGGAGGCCGACATTAGGGCTGGGCTGAGGATGGAGGAGGATCAACATGGAGAACAGAGCTCAGGGGCTCATTGTCCAGCAATCTCTCCTTCCCTCTCTCCACCAGGCTCCTCTACCCATTCGTGCCTTCTGCCCCTTTCCTTTTATCTCTTGCTCCCAGGAGCAACCCCCTTGCAAAGATCTGGGCTCTCTTTTCCCAATCTTAGGAGGTGACTGGTAGTACCCTGGGGTACCCGAAGACACACAATGTTATGGCTAGACATAAGAGCGTCCAGCCAGCGGTGGGCCGGAAGTTGCCTGCTGTGTCTACAGATGTAGCAATAATGGCTGTTTATTAAGCCAAGCTCTGTGAGGGTATGTGGCCAGCATTGCCCCAGCCAAACCTCCAAGCAGCGCTGTGGGGTAGACAAGAGTGTTTGTCATTTGTTTTATTGCCGGAGTAAGTGGAGCACAGAGAGGTAAAGTGAGAGACCCCAGGGTACATAGTTTTGCCCAATCCCAAAGCCACAGACCGCAGCATCTGGAGTGGAGAGAGTCAGCTTCTCCCCAAAGCCCTCTGACTTCGGCAGAGCTCCTCTCTGGACTCTGGGGGTGGATCCCTGTTTGGTAGGGACTCGCTGGGATGCATGGAAGGAGAACAGAGATGACAGGTTTTGCAAAAACAGGCGACAGGACCCGGCGGCCAGGACCAGCAGCCCCATCCTGTCTCCCCTGGGACTCCCCAGGTAGGTAATGGTGAGGCTGAGGCTTACTGGTTCATGGCCGCCATCCTTGGTTTCCCCTTCTTGGCTGCAGGAAGCAACCTGCATTTATGCTTACAGCTCCAAGCCTGTCTGCCTGTGTTCACCTCCCCTGTCCGTCTTCAGAGGCCTGGCAGGATGCACTTCCGGTGCATTTTCCTTGATGTGATTGACAGTACACGCAGCTGCCCTGCGGCTGCCCTTCTAGCGACACCATCTACTGCCATCCGCCCACTGGTACTGTTTCTAGAGATGGCTTAAGGCCCTGGACCTGTCCTCCATGGGAGTGCACGCCTGCCTTCTCCTGGGCTCCCAGTGAGCACAGTGATGTGTGTGTGTGTGTGTGTGTGAGAGAGAGAGAGAGAGAGAGAGAGAGACAGAGAGAGACAGAGAGAGCTGATGTTGACACACTTAGATGGAGTTCACTGGTATTTCATTACAGTGAAGAGGGTGTGGCCTCTGGTTCATCTGTGAAGAAATAGGCTCAGGGAGTTCAAGAAAGTTGATGCAGTTTGTTACCTGTGGAAAGCACAGAAGCTGTGCTCGCAACCACTGTGCCCCAACTCCCACATATTTACCTTCCTAATAAGAGCTGGTGACAGATTTCCTTCCTTCCTTCCTTCCTTCCTTCCTTCCTTCCTTCCTTCCTTTCTTTCTTCCTTCCTTCCTTCCTTCCTTCCTTCCTTCCTCTCTCTCTTTCTTTCCTTTTCTTTCTGTGCCGGGACTGGGGCTTGAACTTAGACCCTGGGCACCGTCTAGGCCACTGCGCAAAGCTGGCAGTCTACCCTTGGAGCCATAGCTCCACTTCTGGCTTTTTTTTTTTTTTTTGGTTAGTTAACTGGAACTGAGAGTCTCATGGACTTTTCTGCCCTGATTCTCAGTAACTAGAATTACAAGTGTGAACCACTAGTGTCTGGCTAGAGTTGCAGATTTTTGCTTAGCTCTGTGGTAGCGAGGCTACCTGGCTTCCACCAGATCTTGTGCTGTATGTCCTGCTTCATGTCTGCAGAGCCTTTGATCAACTGTGATTTACTTTCAGTCTGGAAGGTTCCTGATGATGTGATTGTATAAGGTTGGTCTATAGTTAGAAAACCAGAAGAATTCCAAGGCAGATAATACCTTATAGTTCTAGAGTGCTGCTGGAATTGATTGGAGCTGCTAATCTCACTTGCCAACTCTTACATCTACTGGGCACCCAGACTTTCCCATCAGCCCCTGCATTGCTCTCTGAGGTTGAATTAGGACAGACTAAGCATTCCCTTTGCAGTCACTTGATGGCTTCTTCATTGTTTTTCATTCATATCTCCTCAATAAATGGTGGATAATATTAGTTTCCTCCATGAGCTTATTGTGAGATTTAAGAGTTCATTTTCAGGTCTTAATTCAGTATCTGGCATATAATGTGTACTGAGGGAACAATAGTTGTTGTTAAACTAAACGTAGATGTGGAATTAGATCAAAACATGTAGGTGAAGAACTGGGTGTGGTGAGTAGACTGTAATCCTAGATCTCAGGAGACAGAGGCCAGAGGATTAAGGCCAGGTTGGGCTTTGTAAAGAGACTCACTCAAATTGTATGTGTGTGTGTGTGTGTGTGTGTGTGTGTGTATGTCTATACATCTATATCTATGCAGTGTGTGTATATATACATATGTATGTATATGTGAATATGTATCTATCTATATATATATATAGAGAGAGAGAGAGAGAGAGAAATAAATATACTGAAGATGAATCATGCAAACAATGTTAACTATAGTTCTCAGCTTCCTAGCTAGCACAACATGCAGAGTAGGTTATACTTGTGCCTAAATTAAGGATTGGCAAACTTTTCCTACCTGGCGTCAGCATCTGGAAAACTGCCGTACGTAAAGGAGTAAAGGAGTATATGTGAAGGAGTGGAAGTGGCCAGGAGCCAATAAAACTTTATTTATAAGAACGGGCTTGGGCCAATAAACTACAGTTTGTCCTTAGTTTCAATGAAGGGAGCCTGTTTGTCTTTGGAAGACAGAGACTTCTTGATCACAGGCCCTGCTGCAAATCTGTGGGAGAGGTAGTGTTTACATACGAGAGGCTAATAAAACAGCAGATGGATGGTTATGTCATTGGCTTTTTGCAGGAAATACAGAAGAAAGCCTTCACATGCTAGGGCCGGTCATTGTGGTGGAGTGTGTGTGTGTGTGTGTGTGTGAGAGAGAGAGAGAGAGAAAGAGAGAAAAACTGACAAGCAAGGAAACCCAGAAGCCTGCGCATTTACCTCCGCAGGAGTGCTGCACTGGCAGCTGGGGGATCTCAGTGGCCCTCTTAAGGTGTCCTATTCAGTCTCTGGATTAGAGTCTCACTCATTCCAGAGGCTTTTGAGCTGGAAGGCCTGGGCTCTAGGCATGTTCACTCAGTGTCCTGCTACAGAGAGTGATTATGTCAAAGACGTCCTGTCCCTTTTGTCTGATAATATGCCATTATTGATAAAATGGGGTCTTTGGGGCCAAATTAACCAGGT